AATTGGTTTTTACCTCCTACGTTTTCCATTATAATGAACAACACCATTCGATATTTTTGTCTTTCACGAGATACCTAGGTAAGAGAGAATATATTTTGGACGTTAGCCGAATACATTCTAAAAACAAAACTACTCGCTACATTTTTTTTTTTTTATACTCTAAAGCCGGGTCATCGGGAATTTCGGTAACGGATGGAATTCGAGTCCCTGTAGAAGATGCTCTGTTTGCCGACAGCAATGTGACAGCTAACGAGTGTAGTGCACACCAACATATCGACCTTGACGAAAACATCGAATTTCAACCGGAAGTCATTTTTAAAATTGGGATATTCTATTCTTAATTATTCAACACAGTAATTATTAATACGATATAATGTTTGTAATGATGTTCGAGTTATTTTGAACAAAGAGTTAATTTTAACAAATATTAACAAAGAGTCATCAAATTTTAGTTCAGGTTAAATATAAACACATAATTTCATTGCCATAAGATTAATTATAATTAAAAAGTAATTTTCGAATATATAATATCATCAAATCAAAGGTTGGAGATTCTAAGATCAAGAAATACGTTCTACAGAAATTTGTGATTAACAATCATCCATAGTTATCAGAGATTTATTGATATTTAAGATAATGATTGATGATAGAATATTTTTTTATTTTTTTTGAGTAACTGTTTAAATCTATGATTGTGTTTTATATTTTGTTATATAACAAATAATCCAGTATAGTCAAATTTCTTGATTTTTTCTGCTTTTTAATATACGCGTACCTTTATGATATAATACAGCATAAAACAGACATGTATCTTTAAAAAAATTCTAATAATCAATCCAAAGTAGACAGTAAACTTTTCAAATATATTTCTTAACTTTTGTCTTATCTTTATTTTAATTTTTGTTTAAGTTGAGGTATCGGTTTTTATTCGTTTTTTCCTAGTCATTAACTAATGGCAAAAAGAGAAACCTTTATTAAAATCGGACATAATTTAATATTGTATAATTTTCCGATGTGAATTCCATAATATTTAAAAGGGGCTCTTTACTTTGAGACGTTTGGCCGTTTAATTTTATTAAGCTTGCGATACAGCAAACGTTAAAGTTTAACTGTTAATTATATATATAAATATAAAACATATTGAAATCATACCCATATACCCTTGTTCGTTTTTCCAGTTGCTCAAGCACAGAAGGGTCTCTAATTAATTAGCGTATCCGTCACAGTGTCCTACTGGACGAGAAGTATGTATATATTTCATTCGGAAGGCTTATGATTCCGGTTTAATCTTAAATGCACTACATACATACATATATATATATATATATATATGACGATCGTTCTTGTATTACAAGCGACCGTGGTAACCATGGCTACCGTACGCGATGTAAGGACATCATATTATTATTATTACTGCTATGTGTTCAGGGGCTGGAGATGTTATCGAGAGTGTAACGGGTCGTGGAAAAAAGTTTGGTCATAAATACGAAACGTCGACGACGGTATGTATGGAATAGTTTTAAAACAAATAAAAATCAAAGACGAATTTATTGTCGTATCCGTTGCCAAATATATCGTTTAAAATTGTTATCATACCATCTGATTTTCTGTATTGACTCACTTCGATCACTCCACAATCCCTATTTACCTACAATAAATTTTTTGGATTTTTCGACGAAATCGTATTTTATTTATTTTAATTTTACTTTATTCACGATTTGTGATCGCACAGGCCGAAACAAGTGCGTGCGATAATCGCTAGTTAAAACGTCGATACTGCAAAACTATAGTTTTTAATAATAGTTTTTTGCTACGAACAATGTTTACATTTACAAAATATAATATTCTGTAGAATTAATTGTAAATATATCGAAAACATGCAAAAGATGGATTTAAATTTATCTTCCAGTAACCTGTCACCTCGTTGACGGTATTCAAATTGGAAAATATGATCTATATCGATAATCATTTTAAGTGTATTATAACACATTTCTATATGGTATCGAAATAAATTTTTTCTTTGGAGAAAGTTACAAATAGTGGAATTTTATTGTTATTAGTATTCAATATGCGCTTTTCTCTCTCTCTCTCTCTCTCTCTCTCTCTTTCTCTCTCTTTTTCTTTCTGTTTATTAATATTCTTGAGCAAATTTATGTCATTCTTGAAAAATATTCATAGTTTTATTAATTCAGCTATTTATAATTAACCATCATGGTGATTTGATAAATCCATACATCTGATTTATATTTATATTAAAATAATAAACATTCCAAAAATCTTTTCCATTAGGTATAACAATATTTTTATTACTCCTACACCGAGTATATGTTTCGTGTCGCTTTTGATATTATAATAGTGTAAACATAATAATTCAAAGTATGTAAAATATAGAGACGTCTTCCTAAACAAATAAGATGTTGGATGTTAGATTGTAGATATAGTTATATGAGTTTGATCATGAAATTATTGTATAATTGTAATATTTTTGTAGGCAAATATGTGTATTAGAAGGAATAATCTTTTAAGAACTTTAGGATGGGTGACCGGGACTATTCCAAAGAATTTGTGAAATTGGTCTTAATGCACCCTAACACGCGGGGGTACATTAAGAGGGGGCAAAAGGGGAATTTTCCCTTGGTACAAAATTGAAAGAAGCGTCAGGGTTGGTTACTTTTTGAACTGTGGTAATTAAACGTTATATAAATCGTTTAAAAAATGTATGTCTGGAATTATTTTATATGAACATTTAAAATAGGTTATATTATAGGTAGTAAATCTATATACATTCTAACCAAAGGGTATCACTAGTAATCTAGTACTATCTAGTACACTAGTATCTTATAAAATATATTTTTCTATAAAATTATTTAAGTAATTAAATCTTAGTTATTATTTTACGTTTTATATTAATTACAAATATTGTGTATTATTGTACTGAAATGGGGAAAATTAATTTTGAGCGTATTGAGTGGCTTCTTAATGAAAAGTTGAAGACACTTGTTTCAATTTTCACTTTAGGAAAGATGGACGGAAAACAGGTTGACCTTGAGTGAAAAATATCATAAATACGGCCCTGTGCCCACGGGCTGGGCATACTGTATCTAATCAACAGTGGTTGTAAATTAAGCGTGATTGGCGATGGACGAGGTGGGTAAGTTTGCATCGTTGCCGCAATCCGGTATCGAGTGAGTTACCACACGGGGCCGTTTATCAAACGGTAAACAAGAACATTAAGGAAGGGACGTGAAGGTAAAACGTTCACTTGAGCACGTTCCCACCTGTTCACAGCGTGAAGTGCGCACAGCGAGTGCTGAGTACGTATTTATTGTGACACATACCTGTTGGACTTTGTCGATGATGATAATAATAATAACACGGAGTCGAGCAAACACGGGCGTGGATGGAAAGGATAGTTCTGGAGAAGAAGAGTTAAGAAATAACGGGAAACGAACCCCGCGATATCGGCGGGCGGTTGGTGACTGAAGAGGACTGCAATGGAGGGGGTAAATATGCGAAAGCAAAAAAAAAAAAACTAATTGAGGTCGTCGCACTGAAGTCAAGTGTACTCGTGCACACGCGGAACTTATCTGCTGAGCACGATAAGCGGAGGTGGAAGCGATGGTGACGAGCGGATCGAATTGGAACACTCGATATAATAACACGTGCCATAAGTGTACGACATTGTTCTTTTGTATGTTCTTTAGCCGCAGCAGGTAGTCGCGCGTCTACCAGATAAAAGTTATTCCATTAGGTCGTTTGCGTTTTGGTGCACGTGAAGGGACGATTCGCACTCCACCGCTTCGCCGCAGCCTTGAAACTTTCCGGCCCGGGCATGTAAAGGATTTAAGTCATAAAGTGTTTCGAAAGATTCTGCTCCTCTGGTACATTTTATCTATTATTCATAATCCCATTTATTCCGAACATTTACTTAACCCTGCTCATAGGTCGTACAACTTTCTAACAGCTTACCGGTAATTATATTACGTTTAAAACGTTACGTAGACACGAATCATCCAGAAAACACAATGTATGTGCGTGTATCTGTTCACGGGTATTTTCGTATGGTGAAAAGAAGTAAGGACAGTTTATGATGCTTCTCTTGAGTCGGCGAAGTATTAAAATGTAATATATGAATCACATCGATGGTCCAATAGCGCTGTGCAACTTATATCAGACAGTTAATACGTAACACGTACAACTACTAACATTTTTTTTTTTTTTTGTTTGCATAATATTATTCATCTAAAATGTATACCAAGAAAGGTAATCTATTTACAAATGAAATTGTAGTATATATATATAGTTAGTTTGTAATCAAGTTAAAAAATGCAAAGCTATAGGTACCATTATAATAAAGGATTGTGACTAATGTTTTTTTCTTTTTCATAAAGTACAATACTTTTTGATTAGATATTAAAATATGATTAAATACCAATGCTTTTTTTAAGGGATAATAAATAGAATTTAATAATATTATAACATTAGTGAAAACACTATAAAAGTATATTACCCAAATACCCATATACCCAATAACTTCCCTTTCATTAAATTTCCATCAATTTACATTACGTTTCCAATTCAAATTCAAACTTGCAATTACTGCACCTATACACAAAATATTATTATAGAATATAAATTACTTTCAAGTCAATATTGTTTATAAACTTGAAGATATTGATTTAAGATAAAAATTCTTCTTTTTTACGAGTTATTTCAGACTAATTAATTTGATAACTCCTGGGTAAGAGTAAAATATTTCGAACTACACAATTTATGCATTTAATGTGTAACTATTATATTTCATTTAATTGCAATATATACATAGCTACTAAAATGTATGGAGATAGGATTTTTTTTTTTTTCAAAAAAAGTAATGTAAGATGAATGACGCTTCATTTATTATAGTAGATTATTTTAAAAATGTTATTTTTCCAACTTTTTTTCATACTTTACTAATATGTTTGTTTAATAGGTTTTATAATTGTTTAAATTTATTTCAGATTGAAGACGATTTAGCAACATATGTTGGCGCCGGTTCCAAGGTGAAAGAGATGACAGCAGTAAATACTGTAAGTACTGCAACTAGTTTTTGAAGCGTTTATTTGGTTAACTCCCATTTATTGTTATTTTAAATTTTTTAATAATTTGTATTGATTTTAATTAAAAATAACATGCATGATTCGATTTATGACCAGGAAATAATTACGAGTATAAAATAATTTTCACAAAAATTGTTCACATATTAAAATCACCCATTGATTTTATTGTGTTTACTTATGCACATAGATGGTATAATATATTACATTGCAGCAGTGGTGAATTTATGATATACATGTCGAAAGTGTCACGTTGATACATTTTTAATGGCACGCGAAAAAATTGAAATTATTTAAAAATTTTCCACAAAAATAAGTTTTTTATTTACCAATTTTTATTTTTAAGATATTTAAAGAAACAAATTATGATAATATTAATAAAATAAATTGAGGATAATATATGATAATATTTTTTATACTTTCAATTTCTCATCAACTTATGTTTGTGAAAGTTTATTCTTTTTAACGAATTAGATTTAATCGAAAGAAAGAAACGCTTTGGATGATAAAACAATGTTTGTCTGTGTTCCATTAAAAATGACATAGTACACATTTGATATCAACATTTTATCCGATAAGAAACTTGATAAAATAATAAAATATATAACTGAAAATTTAAGGAAATTTAATAAAACATAATTTATAAAATTACAAAAAAAAATATGATTTACTTAATAAAAATAATGTAGTATATTTGTAATTTTATTTTTAATCAAAATATAATTTCCTTTGGGTACGTGAACGATTTTTAAAACCTTGATTGGAAATGCACTTAACTCAAAAAAGTTCACATATTCTGTTATATTGTATAGTAAGTATGTTTAGAAATTATTTTTTGTGAGCTTTTGAAGATTAATCGATCGTAATCATATAATAAACTCTACAGAACCTACAACTGACTACTGACTCTTTTCGTGTCAAATTAACTCAGTAATAAAATCGAATTATCGTTGTTTGTTCAACAACATTGCTGTTGGTAGAGAAACTACCAACTCAGTCGAGTTAACTATACCTCGTAATGTACCCTAGGAATGTAATTGGACATAAACTTTTCGGGAGCTGTAGTGACGTTATAAATATTAATATTGTGCATATAAGTCGTATGCCATATAAGAAAAGAATTTACGTTTCATGAAAATTGTTAAAAAGAGAAAAAAAAAGTTACTAAGGTGCTTTTTTTTATGTGAAAGAAAATCAGAAAATAGCAGCATTTGGTCCGCCATAGAGCGTACGTACATACTCGTACATATTAAAATATGTATTATATATATTATTCCACCCTATGCTAAAGAGCTTAATAAAAATAAATAAATTCACATACGAATATATTATAAGTACGGGACTGCTAGTTTTCTAAATAGGTGTATTACTACCACTCAGGTCATTAAAAAAAAATAAAAAATGTACACATATAAATATTTAGGAGAAAAAAGAACCAATGGAGTATGTATCTTATGTATTCGAGTACCGTGATTACTGATACGCTTATTAGGATTGGAATTATGAATATATATATATTTATATGCTTAAATCGGTTATTTATAATGGCTCCTACCGGTGTTTGTGTGTGTGTATGGATGTTATTTATATATGGGTGAATGGTATATGGATGGATAAGCATTCATTCTACTCTTTGGAAATTACTTTTCAAAACTGAAAAATGCACACGTGATCCATATATTTATCTCCTTAGAAATTTTTTTTTTTTCACATATATTTGCAGTTTGTACACGGACTGCGCGTTATAATATTTGTAACACATTTTTGACCTATCATTATTCGGAGAAAAAGTATAAACGTGGGGTCTATGTGTACTTCAAACGCTGATCACTTACGCGCGAATAGTTTCAAGATATTATTATTTTCCATCGTAAATTTTATGTATTCTAAAATTATGACGTTAATACGTTCAAAAACACGCCGCAATGAACCGAAATCAATTCAAAATTTATATTTGAAATAAAATTTAATACATCTAATTGACCATTCAGGGCACATGTACACACACACACACACACACACACACACACACACACACACACACACAC